CGCGTCACAATAATATTCTAAAAATCTATGATGTGGTCATATTTCTTCATTATAGAGATAAAGAAGGGGTTTAAAGGAAGCTGGAAGTTGAAGTGTTTAACTGATGTTGAAATAAAAAGGTGTTAGAATGAAGTCAGGAAATGAGAGATTTAGGGGAAGGTGAAAGTGAAGATTCTATCAAAGGCAAGACACAGCTAGAGAGAAGGCAGCTTCGGGGCTCTACACAGTCATTTATATATTTATTTAAATACTGAAAGATAGCAAGTGCATTCTCAGGAGACAGTCTCAGGGGAAAAAAGATAAATGATAAGTCATGCCAGTAATGGGGAATCAGTCAAGGATGGATTCTTGACCTTGGGGGAATACTGTAGAACCCTTCAAGTGTTCTACATGTACTGTCTAGCCCTTAGGAAGGTTTTGGCAGAAACCCTACGGTGAAAACAGTGCTACAATATGAATGCATATATGTGGAATCTAGAAAGATGGTACTGATGAACCTATCTACAGGGCAACAATGAAGACGCAGACATAGAGAACAAACCTATGGACACAGTGGGGGAAAGGGAAGGTGGGATGAACTGAGAGAGTAGCATGCAAACTCATACATTACCATATGTAAAACAGACAGCCAGTGGGAATCTGCTGTGAGACACAGGGGGCTCAAACCTGGGCTCTGTGACAATCTAGAGGGATGGGATGGGGTGGGAGGTGGAAGGGGATTCAAGAGGGAGGGAACATATGTTTACCTATGTCTGATTCATGTTGATGTATGGCAGAAACCAACACAACATTATAAAGCAATTATCCTCCAGTTAAAAATAAATACATTAAAACAAACAAACAAGCAAACCCTGAGCATGCCTCACAACCCCCCAGTGCTGAGACACAGATTCAGGAAGTTGGGCTGGGGCCTGAGAATCGGTGTTTCCAACAAATTCCCCGATGATTCTGGTGTTCTGAGACCCATTGGCATGTATTTCAAGGCATGCTAATTATCCCATATCACAGACAGATTGAGGGTAGGTAGTTTCTGGCTAGCAGTGGCTCTTAAAGGTTATTAAGAGCAAAGTTTCTTTCAAACACATCTTTCTGACATCATTGGGTGTTAGCTCTTCAGCCACAGGCTCGTCCTCTTGTGGCCACAGGATGTTAACACAGTTCCAAGAATTTCATCTCACACTATGTCGTTGAAGGCAGGAAGAAAAGGGGAAGGCATAGCACAAGTTTTCACTTCCCAAGACTCCCCCCTCCCCCTGCCTTTTTTTTTAAATTCTGAAAGAATACCTTTCTCAGAAGCTCTAGACAACTTTTCTTATCTCCTACTAGCCAGATCTAGATCACTGGTCCACTCTCCCCCTTATTCCCGGCCCCAGGCCAATTATTGGCAAGAGGCCAACAATAATTTACCTCATGGGGGAGGGGGTAAAATCTTCCTTCCTTGAAATCAAACTGGGAATGACCGTTTGAAAAGCAACAAGCAGTGACTATCACAGGAGTCCCCTTCCAACCAAGCAGCCTGCTAGATGCTTTCCCTGTGGTTTTTCACTTAATTCTCACAACATTTCTCTTAGATAGGTATTATTAGTCCCACTTTACAGATGAGGACATTGAGACTTGAAGACGTTAAGTATATTGTCTATACAGCTTGGGAAAAGTCAGAATTTGAACTAGATTTATTGACTCCACAGCCCAAATAATGTCTTTATTTTTTTTTTCATTTATTTTTATTAGTTGGAGGCTAATTACTTTACATCATTGCAGTGGTTTTTGTCATACATTGAGATGAATTAGCTATGGATTTACATGTATTCCCCATCCCGGTCCCCCCTCCCACCTCCCTCTCCACCCGATCCCTCTGGGTCTTCCCAGTGCACCAGGCCCGAGCACTTGTCTCATGCACCCAACCTGGGCTGGTGATCTGTTTCACCCTAGATAATATACGTGTTTCGATGCTGTTCTCTTGAAACATCCCACCCTCGCCTTCTCCCAGAGTCCACAAGTCTGTTCTATACATCGGAGTCTCTTTTTCTGTTTTGCACATAGGGTTATTGTTACCATCTTTCTAAATTCCATATATATGTGTTAGTATACTGTAATGGTCTTTATCTTTCTGGCTTACTTCGCTCTGTATAATGGGCTCCAGTTTCATCCATCTCATTAGAACTGATTCAAATGAATTCTTTTTAATGGCTGAGTAATATTCCATGGTGTATATGTACCACAGCTTCCTCATCCATTCGTCTGCTGATGGGCATCTAGGTTGCTTCCATGTCCTGGCTATTATAAACAGTGCTGCGATGAACATTGGGGTGCACGTGTCTCTTTCAGATCTGGTTTCCTCGGTGTGTATGCCCAGAAGTGGGATTGCTGGGTCATATGGCAGTTCTATTTCCAGCTTTTTAAGAAATCTCCACACTGTTTTCCATAGTGGCTGTACTAATTTGCATTCCCACCAACAGTGTAAGAGGGTTCCCTTTTCTCCACACCCTCTCCAGCATTGCAAATAATGTCTTTATATTATGACATCCTGCTTCCTCGTGTTTCATCTGTCGAAAAATCACTGCTGTCATAACAACAACCCTTAGACAAAAAGACTAATTTATATGCTGCTTAATATATAGGAAATGTGTATTTTACATTTCATGAGTTTTGAGACAAAAATTTAAACTCTATACTTCAGGAAATTATGTTACTAACAATAATATGTTATCACACATTGTTATCACACATACTAATGTTATCACATACCTTAATTATTATAGTAAACAAGATCAAGCAGAGTGATAAGGATGCTTCAAAAGTCTAATTTGGAACTTCCTAAGTTTTGTACACTCATATTTGCAGGTCAATGTAACTGACACTTACTCATTTCACCTACAATTCAATGTGCAGTGGGGAGGTAGGGTTTATGCTGAGCCTTGGAGGACAGTTGGGCAGAAAGACGCAGGAGGAGAGAGACAGAAAATGCCCAGCATTTCTAAGGGACAAGGGTCCCAATTCAATATGACTGGAATGACAGGGCTTGTGGAAAACGGTTATGTACTCTACTTCATTCATTTCTATATTGTTTGAACTTCATACAATTTTTTCAATCTGAATCTGTTTTAGTAAAGATGTTTTCATTCTGAAAAGATAGAAAAGGGTAGAAGCCCCATAGTAGAGGATTCTGGAGAAAAGTGAAAGTAAAAGAGAGGACTTGGGAAGTGTGGGCAACTCCATCTAAGAGTTTGAAAACAAATGGAGGAGGGAAAGTTCAATTTTAGCAAAAGGGTCAGCAGGATTATTCTTTTAAGATGTATGTATGTATGGACGTAGAGAACAAACATACAGATATCCGGGGCGGGGGAAGAGGGAGTGGGGTGAACGGGAGATTGGTATTAACATATACACACTATTGATTCTATGTATAGAATAGATAACTAATGAGAACCTACTGCATAGCCCAGGGAACTCTACTCAAAGCTCTGCGGCGAGCTCAATGGGAAGGAAACACAACAAAGAGGGGATAGATGTGCACGTAGAGCCGATTCACCTTGGTGTACAGCAGAAAGTAATAGAACATTGTACAGCAACTATACTCCAATAAAAAAAATTTTTTTAAAGATATACGTATAGAATATACGCCTGTGAATACACTGTCAAAGCTAGAGATGGCGACCCACTCCAGTACTCTTGCCAGGAAAATCCCATGGACGGAGAAGCCTGGTAGGCTACAATCCCTGGGGTCGCAAAGAGTCGGACACGACTGAGTGACTTCACTTCCACTTAGTATGTCTATTAGTTACCTATAGCTGCATAAAAATAATCACAAAAATATTTATCATCTTGCACTGTTTCTGAGGGGCAGGAAATCAGGGTTTCTCCGGGTGGTTCTGATTCAGGACCTCTCAAGAGGTTGTGGTCGAGATACTGGCCAAGGCTACAGTCATTCAAAGGCTTGACTGGACTGAGGCCTCCGTTCCTTGCGGGCTGTTCTTTACCACATGGGCCTCCAGAAAGCTGCCCAGGAGGTGGCAGCTGGTTTCCTCCAGAGGGAATCGTCCAACAGAGAGAATCCAGGCTGATAGCAGCACTGCCTTTTGATGACCTGGTCTCCCAGGTTGCACACTGTCTCTTCTGTTTTATTCTTCTCGTTGGAAACAAGATCCATCCATACTCCAAACGCTGGGGACCCGGGGTGTGATCCCGGGTCAGGGAATTAGATCCCACACACCACAGCTAGGACCCCAAGCAGCCAAATAAATAAATAAGCCTTTAAAAACTAAAGAAACAGGATCCAACCTACATTGAAGGAGAAGGTAATTAGCCTCCATATCTTAAACGGAGGGGGGCTTCCCAGACGGTCCTAACGGTAAAGAACCCACCTGCCAATGCAGGTGAAGATCCCCTGGAGGAGGGCGTGGCAACCCACTCCAGTATTCTTGCCTGGAGAATCCCATGGACAGGGGAGCCTGGTGGGCTATGCTCCATGGGGTCGCAAAGAGTCAAACATGGCTGAAGCTACTGAGCACAGTCTTGAAGGGAGGAGTATCAGAGCAGTTATGGACATATTTTCCAAACCACTATAGAGTGCATAAAGAATGTCACGTCTTAAATAAACACATACACAGCGAAAAGTAGTTTAAATAGAGTAAATCATTTCCCCATGAGAATTATGTTAAATGTAATTTCCAGAACATGAGGCCATTTCAACCTTAAAAAATCCATTTTAATACTATCTTTTGCGCTCTAGTAGTGTCAGTGATAACAAATGTCATTGCATGGTGCTTTTCATATTTTGTTCTAGCTTTCAGGTGGATATGTCACGTCTTGTGATTGCTAGCATCTTTTGAACACCTTCTGACATTTGAGCAATCTCCTCCATTTTGAGGCCGGCTTCCTAAGGAACAAGCCAGCACTTGGCCTCCGAGATGGAGGTGGTGAGTAGTGGGTGGTGTGTCATCACCACACTGGTGCATGTAGACCCCGGCAAGAGTCCAAGGGCAGGGCCGGCCTGAGGGATGCGCTGGCTCTTTCCTCTGCAGGCTCTGGGAGGGCCAGGCCTGACGGCCAGCGGGTGGGACAGTGTTCAGGCCGGAATGTACACGCAGGCCACTGAGCCCCCGCGATGCTACGTGGCCAAGTGGGTAGGGGGCAGTTCCACCCACTCCTCTCCCGGGGAGCTCTCTCAGGGGTGGTCCGTACTGGTGACTGGTACTCAGAGAACCAGGGCAACAGGCTGGGCCAAGGCCTCCGCGGGGTCATGGCCATGTTCCCGGGGAGGACAGGCGTCCAGGAGGTGCCAGGGCAATGGGCTTCTCCGTGTGACCCAGTGGGTGATGAGCCAGTTGGTGACGTGAATGTGTGTACATACTCCAGGACGATGGGAGCTCTCGGTCCAACACAGCCAGCCTGCACAACCCGGACAAGGGCCTGGCTGCCAGATGGTGGCTCCCGATGCTCCTGGACGCAGAAGCCTTGGCTGTGTGCTGGATTCTAGGTCCTGGGTGGTGGAGAATGGAGCGAAAGCCCTGGAAAAGGAAGCGAAGTGAAAGGACCATGTGGAAGCTCTGGTGCAAAGAAAGGAAGGAGAGCATTGCAGAAAAGTTAAGATAAGAACGTAAACATCTAGGTGCACGGGCGGGTCAGCGACAAGAGAGGAGGTTCCCCGCACTGCACGGAGGCCGTGTCCGCAGCCAGCCGGGCGGGCGAACAGTGCTGCGCTTCTTGCACTTGCCGGTCTGTGTAGACCCACGTGGCTGCAACACTCCCTGCCGGTGTGACCTGTCGAGGAGAAAAGCGGTCCACAGGGACGGGGCGGGGTGGGGTGGGGAGGGTCCCCGATCTCTGCTGCTGCCCGCGCAACCCAATCCTTGAAGTTTGTCCCACCTGGAATAAAACAAATCCACCGCCACCCTCTGGGCGGCGTCGCAGCGCCGCGCCCGAACGCGGTCGGCGAAATCTGGAGGTTCATTGGCGTGTTTGTTTCCCGCGCCCGCGCACCTCGAAACCGAAAGCAGAGTGGCTGGGCCCGAAGCCCGCCTGAGCGAGCGGCCTGGCCCGCCGCCGCCCAAAGCGCGCCGAGCTCGGCTGCAGTTGCCTTGGCGGCCGCGGCCGGCCGACAGCAACAGTGAGTTGCAGCGGCAGAAAAAGCAGGCTCCCCTCGGCTGGCGGGCAGCTGCAGCTCCGGTTGGGGGAGGGAAAAAAAAAAAAAAAAGGAACGGCGGCGAAGAGCGAGACGGTGTAGTACGGCTTGTAGGGTGAGCGAGTGAGACACCAGGATGGCCGAGTGGTTAAGGCGTTGGACTTAAGATCCAATGGACGTATGTCCGCGTGGGTTCGAACCCCACTCCTGGTAGTTAGGTTTTTTCCTCACATTAAAAAAATATTTTTTTAAAAAAAAAACATATATACATTTTCACTAAGCACATTATGTCTTAAACTCAGGAATTCTGTCTCCTAGTTGGGAGAGGAGTTAAGTCCCACAACACGCGGCTCCGCTTCCCACAGGCCAGAGGCAACCCAGCGAGTGGGCCGGGCGTGGGGATCGCGCGCGGGCGCTGACCCCCGGTCAGGGCGGCGGGGTCGGGTGGGGTGGGCGTCGCACGCGCTCAACTGCTTCGGGGGGCCCAGGCGGGGTCGGGACTCGGGAGGCAGCCGCGCTGCGGGGCGCACCTCCCTCGCTAGCTGGGCAGGAAGGCCGCCTGTGATGCGGCAGGCAGCGTAGTTAGAAAAGTGCAGAAAAAGTGAAGAATGCATCTCTCCCTTTTCCTAATTTTTCGCCAAAATTAATTGTGTGCCCAGAATTCTTTCGCTAAATCCATGAAGGCGGAGACAGTATGCATCACAGCTACAAAATGGACTCTAATCGGTAGTCGGCTAAGAATTTTAAAATAAGATACACAGTCTAGGTTTTTTTTTTATTTTTTGTCTTTGTTGTTTTGAAAATACTTTTAAAAAGTGAAAGTAATCTAAAATCTAGAGGGGCGGAGTTGCAAGTACAATGAAAATTACTCCCCCCTCCAAAAAAAATCATTTGAGAGTAAGATGCCAAATAGATGCTCCAGTACAAGCGTTAAAAATCAGTAAATTAAAAAAAAATTTTTTTAAAAATCAGTAAATTAACGTTGATAATTTACTACCATCTAATCCCCAGGCCCCATTTAATCACCAGTCGTCCTTTAAAGTAAAAGTCTCCTCCTGTTCAGAATAATGCGCTGCATTTACTGGTCACATTGCTTTAAGCTTCTGCAATCTGAAATAATTCCTCACTGTTTCCTGACTTTCATATCTTGAAACTTCTGAAGATGACAAGCTCGTCATTTTGCAGAATATCTCTTTGTCAGTTTGGAATTGTCTAATGTTTTCTCGTGATTCAATTCAGGTTGTATTTATAAAGCCCAGGGCTCTCCCAGAATTGACATTGTGCTTGCTTTCTGGCCTCTTAGGTGGCATGGTTTTGATGTGTCCTGTTACTGATCTGAATTCGCTTGATTAGGCTTTTCTGCCAGTTTCCCCGACTATACTTAACCCTTTGTGACTGACGCATATTTTGAGGTGAAGTGCTTTGAAGCTATGTAAATATCCCATTACTCATTAAACTTTCTGTTTTATTCAATCATTATAGAATCACAAGTTAGGCACGTATGCATTCATGGTGTCCTGTTTTTAATTAATGGTTACAATCTATTTTATTTCTTTTGATGCTGAAAGTGTCCCAGATTTGGCCCCAGTGGGAGTCTGTTCAAACTGACTTTTGACATGCCTGCATTTTTTAGCATGTCCTTACTTCCTAGTCCAAGATGATCCATGCTTACCTTGTATTGCTCTTGATCCAGACAATGCAGGATCAGACATTTTGAAAAGAACCTTTAGTTCTTTAGGAAACCGAAAGTTTCCTTTAGTGGAGAAAGGTAATTAGAAACCGAGATCTCAGTAGTAGATGTGCTCCTTGGTTCTGTTGTGTTACTGTTCCCAGGCCCTCTCAGTGGACAGAGATAGACACGTGTGTACACACTTGTATCTATCTATCTATTTATATTTAGGAGTTCATACCAATACTCTAATTCTGATACAACACTATTAATCTTGTTCTAGTCTTTCTATCCATATTTGTCATTCCCAAAATTGCCCCCTGGTCCCCTGCCCTAGTATACCATCTACCTTGTTTGGGCCCATCTAATGGATTTAGAATGGAATTGTTCAAGAAGAAGGGAAGAAGAAAAGAAAGAGGGTCTAAACAGGTTAGAAATAAGCATTCTGCCAGCACCTAGAACTGGCTGTAAACCAGTCACTCTTAGACCTTTCAGATGTGCAGATAAATAAGCCAGCCTTTCCTTAAAGGAGCTTAGATAGTGAGAGACAGATTTTAAACCACATTTATGATGAAAAAATATAAGTTATATGCCAGATGCTAAAGAAGTTGTGCTGAAAGCCCTCTTTCCCAGTGAGTCAGCTTTAGATGAGAACTGAAGGAAGAGGGGGAGGGTAGGAACAGAGAAAGGCAGGAAGAGGGCTACATGTTGGGGAAGACGTCTTGAAACCATCCTAAATATGGTGCCTGAAGTCCACTGAAGGATCCAGAACAAGAAGCAGCCTCATCAGTGTTGCATTTGAAAGTATCTCTTGTCTATTGATGCGCAAACTCTTGATGTACAAACTCAATGGGTCTCTTTATGCTCAGGACAGGGAGCATGTTGAATTGGCAGAAAATATTTCTTAGGGAAAAAGTTGAATGCAGTCAGTAGCCAGTTAGACTGAACTCTATGCCTCTCTTCCTCCTTAAAAGTTGAGCAAGGAGAAAAACAATATTGACTTGAAGGCTTCCCAGTCTGAACCCAGGGCTTCTTGCTGATTTTTTAAAATTTTTGATTTGTTTTTATTAATATGTTCATGTGCAAAAATGGAACAAAACTTCCAAGAAGAGGCAGAGTAGTGTAGAATTGTACTTTGTTCCTTTAAAAGTATATTGTATCTCAAGCTTCTAGTCAGTAGTAACCAGTTACTGTGCTATAGCAAAGATGGTAAAAGTCAGCTAGTATTCTTTCTTGTGCTTGTTAAAATTCTGACAGATCCCTGAGATGCCACGAAAAGGAGTGAAATGATGTCTGAAAGCTGCTGGTCTGGAAACAAGAGAATTTATTAGATGAATCCTAGGGCACTGTGATTGATCAGTATAGTTGGCCCATTTAACCGCAGTCTTCACATGGCAATTTAGATGGAATTTTCTGCTTTACTGTATCCTTCTCTATGAAATGTTCTATCATTGATTTCCTCTGATTAGAAGAATTCTCTAACTGAATTTTAATTTAGTGCGGCAAACTCTAAGACTATGATTCAGTTTATGAAGTACATAGCACAAAGTGACTCGGTAGGAAGAATCCAGGCTTTGGGGTCAGACAGAACGTACCAACTTTCCCAGGTTATCAGCCTTCTTTCTTCATTTGCAAATGGGAAAATAATATTTTACCCACACAAAATGCTTGTGAGGCTGTGATATTCTTCTCATAAAAGACAGTGTTTTGTAACTGAGTTCACTTCCTTTTTCTGGAGCAATCTTTTGTGGAAAGTACAGTAGATCCCAGCTGTGCAAGTAGGAAGGAAGCTTACCTTGCCTGTATAGACCACTTTGCAGTTTTCCCAAACACTTTTACATTCATATCCTCCTTTGACAGACAATATCATATACGTAGATAGGTAGTGGATACGATTAGACACAATTTTCCTTAATAAATGTAAAGAATAATGTTTTCTTTCACTCAAAATGACATAGATAGAGCTAGAGGATAGCATTAGTTCTTAAAAAATGGAAACTCTCTCCTAAAATGTAGCAGAATTTTTACTTTTCCTTGAGAAGTAGACCTGTTATATTTGACTATTTATTTTTTAAAAATTCTTAAAATATTTTGAATTTAAATTTGAATCATTTGTAGGTATACTACACCTAAATTTAGGATGATATTCCAGTGATTATTTTAACAATAAGAAATTAAGTCATTAAGTTGAGCTATAAATATGAGTGTAGATTTATGAGCATATTTTCAGTTCAGTTCAGTTCAGTTGCTCAGTCGCGTCTGACTCTTTGCGACCCCATGGACTGCAGCACGCCAGGCTTCCCTGTCCATCACCAGCTCCTGGAGCTTGCTCAAACTCATGTCCATCAAGTCGGTGATGCCATACTTTAAGTTATTAAAAAATTGATCTTTTTCTATGGGACTTTACACAGAACATAGGAGAAGTGTTGCCAATGTATTTAAATAGTGACATCTACTGGTTCATTTGAGGTAAAATGTTTGCTAAATTCTGTCTGCCTTACTCTGTAAAATCCTGATAGTTCCTCCACAGTTACTGTGTTTAGGAG